GGATGGATGGATGGATGGATGGATGGATGGATGGATGGATGGATGGATGGATGGATGGATGGATGGATGGATGGATGGATGGATGGATGTCAGGGTATTTGAACCAGCAGCCTCTCAATTACAGGCTCACCTTACTTATCCTCTGTGCCACCAATAAAAATAATAACAACAACAATAAAAATAGTAATGACAATAACAACAATAAACATTTTTTTAATTCAAAACATGAAAAGCTGACATTGCACTGAAATTAATTTAACATTTTCTAAGCTATTCTACTACTATATTATTTTATTTTTTATTATTATTTGTATTATTATTATTATTATTGGGGTTTTTTTTAGCTTTATTAGCAAGTAATAAACTGGATTGTATGAATCTGACTTTAATGGAATCACTTTTTTTGTGCTGCAACTGATACGACATAGACTGAACTACTTAAAAATAAAGCTTGTAAGTTCTAAAAACAAAATTTAAAAAGTACTTGTGTTCTGTATCTAAAAATAAAAATAAAAATCCCATAAGAGACGATAACTTTGACCACCCTGGGGTTGTGATTCCAAATGAAACAGTCAAAGTAATTTCTATGTCAAGTATTTTAATTATCAGATGCTGGTTTAGGAGGGTGGTTGATGCTGATTTCTAATCTATAAATGAAATTCATGTGGAAATAGTTGTAGGGCTGATCTGATCTGATGATCCAAAATAATAACAGTCTGACAGATATTGATGATCAGTGCAGGTGGGGGCTCATCATCAGTGGAGGTGCTCTTCTGCAGGGAGTGTCTTGTTCAACTGTTCTGTTGGATTATTTAGAGATAAAAACATTATGGGCTATAATATGCATTGTTAATTATAATGTATTATAAATGTAGATAATTCTGAGACAAGTTAAAATGCACACCACTGATACGATACTTCAGCATCTCCCCTCTAGCAGCACTGAGTCTGACTTTGTGAGAGTAAGAGATGCATGGTTCAAATGCTCGCTGTTGTTTAAAATGCATGTCTGGCTATATGTACTATATGTACTTTATGTACTATATGTACTATATGTACTATATGTATTATATGTACTATATGTACTATATGTATTATATGTACTATATGTACTATATGTACTATATGTACTATATGTACTATATGTACTATTTGTATTATATGTACTATATGTACTATATGTATTATATGTACTATATGCACTATATATACTATATGCATTATATGTACTATATGTACAATATATACTATATGTACTATATGTACTATATGTACTTGTACAATATATGTACTTGTACAATATGTGCCATTTTCATAGACTTTATTAAGCTGTCTGTGTGAGCAGTGGGATTAGTTTATTTTATTGTGTATTTTCAGTGTCTATTTGTAATGGCTGACATACTTGAGCACTGTGTTTTGTTTTATTCTTTATGAATAATGTTTTAATTTGTGGTATTTTCCATCATAGCCGACTCCATGTGGCTGTAACAAAGAGCGCTTCCAGAAAGACCTTTTAAGAGTTATCTTAGGAGAGGAATTTTCAATCTGTTAAATCTTTCTGTCAAGATTTTATTTGTTTATTAAATGTACATGTTTAGTTGCTGTTTAAACGCTTCAACATCAGACTTCGACGTGAACCTGAACCTAAAAGAAGTGTTGTTGCTGTTTGTCCCATGGACTGAACAGGTGCTGAGCTCTGTCATGTGATGGACACACCTTCATTTGTCGAGTTGTTGTTACACGAACGTTTGATGATAATGCCACAAATTGTAGCAGCGATGAGCACAGCGGCCACTACGGCTGGAATCAGGATGACGAGCAGATCCAGATCCTTTCCTTCTGTTGAATCTGTTGAATTCAAAGACCCCACTTGTAGAAGAACAGTAGCAGATTAGTGATCGTAAAATGAGGCCTAGTCTGGTCGTTACCTGCAGTTGACACCTGATTTCTATCATCTTACTTCAAACAGCACAATGACGGGTAATGACTGTTTAATCTAAAAACTAAAATTAAAATTGAGACACATATCAGGACATAAGTTTGCATCAGTTAGACTAACTTACTTTCTGATTGTTCAGAGTCTCCTGAACAAGACTCTGTTGTGCTGCCCTCAGGTGAACCTGGACAGAAACACACGTTAAAGTCTTGCAGTGAAGACAAACAGCTCTCTATGACTCGTCTGTAATTTTACCCAAGACTGTTGGGCCGGAAGCTGAGGTGATGACGGGGGGTTTCGTTGAACTGCTTTCTGTAGCTATGACTGCTGACAGAAATCAGTTTTATTAGTTGCTTTGCAATAATATGAGCATCATGATAAACAAATGTGGTTTTACAACCAATGAATATAAAAGCACAAATCAGTCTGATATTTTCAGCTTCTAATATTTGGATGGTAATAACAAAATGGCATTAAGTGGAACAGAAAAAAACACTGAGTATAAATCTGTCCTTAGTCTAAGACTGGTTGCTTCTGTATTTCTTATAAGCAAATTTAAGAATAGTTTTCCAGCAGCTATTCATTTATAACATTGGTGTCTCTGTGAGACACATTTTGAGAAGGAGCACTTCACATTCATGCTGACAAATACAACATACTGTACGGTATAATAATGTAACACAAAAAATGAGTTAAAAAAGTGAGTAGAATTTGATATTTTTGTTTAACACATGGCAAAAGGTACACACTTCGAAAATGTTAGCATTTGAAAATGTAAACACACATGGAAAACATATCATTTGTGGATTTAGCACAATAAAACAGAAGAAAAAAAAACAGCCACTGGAGAGCACAAGCCAGTGTATCGCTTGTGCCGGTCCCACGACCAAGTAAATGGTGAGGGTTGTGTCAGGAAGGGCATCCAACATAAAATGCTTTTGCCAAAACTAATGTGAGTTAATCTAAGTGACAGTATGTCAGATCAATCAAGGCCAAGGTTTAAAAAGGCCACCACCGGTGCTGTTGAAAAACCAAAGAAACCAAATGGAAGGGCAGCAAGGCTCACAGCACTGGAGCAGTGTTTTAAGTGTTTTACCATAGTGTGTATAGAAAAAGAAATGGAGTAGGGGTGGTCCTGAAAGAGGAGTTGGCAAAGAATGTACAAAGTAGTAGAGGTGAAAAGAGTGTCAGATAGGATGAATGTGTCTGAAAGTAGAAGTAAAAGGTCTGATGCTAAATGTTGTCAGTGGTTATGTTCCACGGGTTGGATGTGATGTAGAGGAGAACGATTCATTCTGGAAAGATCTGGATGAAGTGATAGAGAGTGTTCCCAGGGAGGAGAGAGTGGTGATCGGAGCAGACCTGAATGGACATGTTGGTGAAGGAAACAGAGGGGATGAGGAAATGGGTTTGGTGTCAAGGAAAGGAATCAGGAAAGATAAATGGTGGTAGATTTTGCCAAGAGGATGGAAATGACTGTAGTCACTTATTTCTAAAAGAGGGATGAACATAGAGTGACCTATAAGAGTGGAGGAAGGAGTACACAGGTAGACTACATTCTGTGTAGAAGAGGAAACCTGAGGGAGATTGGGGACTGTAAGGTTGTGGCAGGGGAGAGCGTGGCCAGACAGCATTACATTGTTGTGTGTAGAATGCCTGTTGTAGTGAAGAAGAGAAAAATAGTAAAATCAGAGAACAAGATCAAATGGTGGAAGCTGAGGAAAGAAGAATGTTGTGAGGAGTTCAGAGAGGAGCTGTTAAAGGCTCTGGGTGGCAAGAAAGATCTTCCAAATGACTGGGCTACTACAGCAACAGAGAGACAGGTAGGAAGGTACCGGGTACTTGGTGTGTCGTCTGGACAGAGACAATATAATAAGGACACCTGGTGGTGAAGAATGAAGTGCAGGAAGCTGTTCAAAAAAAGAGGTTAGCTAAGAAGAAATATGACAGTGAGAGGACTGAAGAGAGGAGACAGGAAAGTAAGGAGATGGCAGAAGGTGTATGATGAGCTGTATGGGAGGCTGGACACTGAAGAAGGGGAGAAGGACTTGTAGCACTTGACAGATTGGCGAGACAGAGGGATCAGGCTGGAAAGGATGTGCAACAGGCTATAGGCTTGTTAAAGATATGGTAATTTTCTAACAAGAGAGGAGACTGTAACAGGAAAATGGAAGGAGTACTTTGAGGAGCTAATGAATGAAGAGAATGAAAGAGGAAGAAGAGTAGAGGTTATAGAAACTGTGGACCAGGAAGTGGGACATTATTTTCTGTAGCCTAACCCTAACCCCACCAGCAAGACTGCTCTTTATGGGGACCTGGCTTTGGTCCCCATAAAGAGCAGCTGGTTCCCACAATGCATGAGTTTTTGTAAAATTGGTCCCTACCTGAAACAAAAACACAAAAATGTTTGTGTGTGTGTGTGTGTGTGTGTGCGTGTGCGTGTGCGTGTGCGTGTGCGTGCGTGCGTGTGTGTGAACAAGGCAAACCCTGACTCAGTTCCACGAGTTGTGTCAGGAGGAATGTGACAACATTCCAGCAAATGATTGTGTGAAGGTTGTGGAAAGAAATACAAAGAATTCACTGTGGCTTTAAAAAGAAGTCAATAATGTGACGGTCATCTAATATTGAACTGATCAGTTGTAAACGTACAATCAGTGATTACTTCATTAAAATATGTCCAGTGGCACGAGACATATTTTGCTAACAGAAAAGGTTTACTCCATTGATTAATGGCGTATTTTTAAACAATAAGCTCAAAGTATGTGGAGGAGAAAATGCCTCTCCATCACTCCTAATTTTAGCACAAACGTACCTAAACTTGACTTAGTAATTTTTGTGTCCGCTCAGATCGATCAGCTGTAGAATCATTCGTGAATGTCAATAGAGTTGACGTTCAAATGTTCATGAGTACGTAGATCGAGAAATTTAATCCAGAATTTTGGGGAGTGGTGGCGCAGAGGTTAGAGAAGATGGGCCTGTGATTAGAAAGTCGCAGGTTCAACTCCTGGTACCGTCAACATCAAAATGTGGGTGGGAAAAAGGTGAAGCACCCACACCTGCCTCCACCCTCATTCACCTTACTCTGGGCCCTTGAGCAAGACCCTTAACCCCAACCGTCTGCTCCCTAAACAGGTCTCTCTTGAAAATGAGTTCTCGTGGCTCAATGAGACTACCCGTATAAATAAAGGGTAAATTTAAAAAAAAAAGAAAATAATAATAATTTCAGTGATTAATGAGAAATTTTGCTAACAAACGCACATATACAAACACACAGACATGACAAAGCAGTTTGGCCTTTCACCAACGGGCAGTAATTCTAGTACAAACGTTAATGTCACAGTGAAGATAAAACTGAAAGTCAGGTTAAATAATTTCACAGGCTCTGCATTTTATACTTTAAAAATTATTCTGTCTAAAATTCTCTTAAAATCCATCAACTTTACTCGCTTCTTCCTTTTCTGATCACGGGGGTCACTGCTGCTCATGTCCAGCAGTCACTGTGAAAGAGGCGGGGGACACCCTGGACAGGTGTCCAGTCCAACACAGGGACACATGGAGACAAATGAGACAAACAACCATTCACTCTCACTCACACCAAGGGACAATTTAGAGTTACCAATCAGTCTAACATGCGTGTTTTTGGTCTGTGGGAGGAAACTGGAGTACCTGGACAGAGAGAAGATGCAAACTCCACCCAGAGAGCCTCCACCGGCTGGGATTTAAACTGGCAACCTTCTCGCTAAGAGGCAGCAGCTCTACCAACTGTGCCACCGTGCCGCCCTCTTTAAAAATAAAAAAAAATCTAAAATTCAAATCATGTTGACAACAACAACCATGAAGACAACCAGCTAAAACTAATCATCTTATCTTTGAAGTGCATGAGTTTTCACTGGAAAAGTGATCAATCATGTGATCAATCATGTGATCAATCATGTGATCCTGCGCTCACCTCCGTCTGCTGCAGCATCTCCTCCTGTTTCTGTTGTATCCTGTGTTTCTTGTGTGGGATCAGCATCAGTAGCACTGCTTTCATCGTCTTTGCAAAACGCTGTGATGCAACATCTCTCGTTACTTCAAACACACGTGTCAATGAATAAAAGAATGTAACATATAAAATATATAACTGAATACAAATGTAACACTCAACACTTGGATTAAAACTGAAACTGCAAATTCTGCCCACATTTTCTTAACGAGTCACTCAGGAAATATAAACGTCTGTTTAAATGAGAAGTTACAACAAAAATGAAAACTGTTGCCAAAGTCCGAATTAGGAACGAACAAAAGATGGTGGGATATTGAGAAATCAGATCCTCTGAGAAGTTACTCACGAAGATTTCACTTTTAAAATTACGCTCAGCGTGTGAATAAACAAAACAGTCCTGATGTGTTGGTGAAAGATTGATCAGGCTGAGCTGATCAAACGTCACGAAACTGAACAACCTGATGTCAGTGAAGGCCTCATGACTTGGTTTCATCTGAAAGGAAAATTAAAGGTGGAAAACACTTTAACATGTTGGATCTTGTTCCCATTCTAACGTGTCTGCTCTGCCTGGTGTCTCTTAAATCAGTTCAGAAGAAGAAAAAAGTCTAAATAGATCCTGTTTTTCACTGCAGCTCTAACTCTCTGTCATGAAGTAAAGTTTGTTGTAACATCGATTAAAGCAGGAACAGAAAGGCAGAGAGGAGATGGGATAAAGAAAAGTGTTTTCAGAGCGAAGAGGTGTTTTCTGTCCTACCTTTCCCAGACAAACTGCTCAGCAGCAGCAGCAGCAGCAGCAGCAGACGGGTCTTTAACCGGGGGCCTCTCATGTTACTGAGCAAAGACATAATGACATAGTGCCACTATGAGGCTGTTTCCCCCGTGGTGTCACAGCATCACACTTCCTGATTTTACTCAACGTTTAAAAAGAAAAAACGGCCACACACCCACAGATTCACTCCGGTAGTCACTCGGATGTGATGCAACCAGCCGTGTGCTTGTAGCTACAAGTCAAACTGCGCTTCGGCTGCAGGAACACATTCCTGACCGTCAGGTACGCAACACAACGAGAGCAGTTTCAGACAGTCAGGTGTCTCTCCTCGCCACGCCAGTGCTCTGACCTCTGAGATTTTGCTCCTTTAGGACAAGTTCCTGCAGAGTTCTGCCGCTGCACCGTGTTGCAGACTAATAATCATGAAACTACTTTCTGACCAACAAGCCTCTGCAGACCTGGTATGGCAGGAACATCTGCATGTCACAAGGTCGTGTGCTGAGCCCCTTCCTCTAGTTTCTCTTCAGCTACAGAACTGGTCTTCAGTTTGTCAAAGACAAGAATGAGATGGCCTACAGGTGGAGGTCCTGGCTGGGTGGTGCACTTGACACACAGGAAAAACAAAGGAGTGTCCACTCACAGCGGACTTTGCGATTGAGCTTGCAGCAGCTTCAAGTTCCAAGGGATTCACATATCGGAGAACTTTTCTTGAATGGCCTGGTTCAGAAAGTTCATTAGCAAATCTGATTCTATAAACACTGAGGACGAACCATCCCTCCATCCACCACCACATCATTTAAAACATCTTGATGGAGTTGTATCACAGTCTGGAGCAGAAACAGAGCTGAAACCACCCAAAGCATCATCAGTGATTTACTTCCTGTTTCTGAGGAAGTTTGAAGGAAATGGTGTCAAAAGAGCAGACAGCATTGTATGTTTTCCTCCTTAACCTCTGAGAGATACTTTAGGTGTCTGCAGGACCAGCAGTCTCAAGAACAGTTTTTCTCACCCCACAGCTGTCTTCCTTTTAAACTCTACACTAAATGATACACTTTGAGCTTGAAAGACTGATTTGTATTTATGGTGCACAAGTTTCATATGTGCTTTTTGTCTCTGTTTGCGAACTGACATTTTAATATTGAATTTGCTCATTTCTGTAAAAACCTGTTTGAAAAGTTGTTCATAAACTGTGTTGTTAAAATGATGACTGAAAAAAATTCTGATGTACAAGTAACTTAAACAATATGTCCACCATGTATGACAAATACTGAAACAATTAGATATTTTTGTTGTTAAAAAAAATAGATTTTTTATTTATTTTTTATTTCAATTGACACCTTTTGGATTGCTTTACATCATTAGGTTTTGTGTCGTAAAACTATTTCATTGTATGACATTGTAGGCTCTGGTTGTCAAATGGAAAAACATAAAATAATAGTTTGGGAAAAAAATATTAGATTTTCAAAAGATCAATAACTAGGTAAGGTCTGTAAATTTAAAATCCCACATGCCAATCCATACATAAAAACTAGAAACTCACAATTTGCTTATGAGTGAAAACAAATGCAGTGGCCTTTAATGACATTTTGAATTTACTTCTTTTTACATGACAAAATCACAACATTGTTATGGTTTATTTTAGTGTGTTTTATTTTATTGTATTTGTATATTATTAATATATTTGTTTTGCATTTACCATTTCTGCACAAAACCCCGAAAAAAATAGAAACCAAAACTCTTCATAAAAAGAAAATAAATTTGTTTTAAATAAAAATAAGACCACAGCAAATACCATTAGTGTATTATAAGATAAAAATGTTTGTAAGTAAATAAAACTGGCAAAACAGTTTTAAAGCAACTTTTAAACGACTGTAAAACAAAAGGAAGGAGAAATTTGTATTTTAACACACTAATCTAACAACCTTATTTTAATATATTTGACAGCTGTAAGGCTTATATGAAAGCATAATTAGTATTTATTTGCTTATGTATTTATTAATAAAGTTGCTGCTTCAAAAGCTGCCCCTGACTCTCCTCAGAAAAACCTGTACCTAAATTTTGCTGTCAGTCCCTGACTTGGAGGACTATTTTTGTTGAACTGGGCTTCTATTAATTCATTCATTCAACCTTCCTTTAGACAGGTTAACCCCACTGATCCTCGGGACTCATTTACAAGAGAAACCTGTGAGACCATGTGTGATGTGAGAGACCATAGTTGTATTCGGAAGTAGAGAGTCGGACCGGTTTCAGAGACGGACCCGGTCCAGATTTTCACATATTTTAGTATTCTGTTTTCAGTTCATAATAAACACATTTTAAATTACGCCTAAATTATGATAGTTAGTAGGGTGTTTTTTTTTTATTCCACACAATTACTTTTGCGGCAACACGGTTTTCGTTACATTTATTTAAGACGGACCACTTCCGCTTCCGGTGTAATTGTCAACAGACCACGCTTGTCTTTTTTAGTGAACATGGTGAGGCTATTTCTCTGCTATTTTCAGTGTTTTTAACGTCAGAATTGCAATTTATTGTGTGTAGGTGGGTCGTAATTTTTAAAATGTATACTTTTTTATAATTTGATTTATTTTCAGCCGAAGACTCAGAAAGGAAAAGCGGCGGAAAAAGTTGTTCACCCTTACAGCAGGAAAGCTGCTTATCTCGCCCGAGAGGAAAACAAACAGAAAAAGAAAAACAGGTTTGTACATAAAAATCAATTAATACAACATTAGCACCTAAAACTGGAGTTTATTTGTGCATGGGGATTTTGTCGGTGAAAACTGACACCAACAAAATCATAAATTAAAACATAGATTTCTTGTAAATAGATGACGTCGGTCAGTTCTGAATGTCTGGATTTTTTCTTTGATGCTTCAGGTTGAAGAACGAAAAAGCAGCACGGCTAAATAACATTGGTAAGCGTGTCTGTCATTTGTATTGATGCAAAGTTAGAGCTCCAGATTGAAGTTCTGGTTCTTCTCGTCTGGATGTTAAATTACAGGTGACAAGCTTTTATGGTTTCAAAGTCAGCTGGACCCAACAAAGGCAAACTACACCCAGAATGATGCCTGTGACATTATTGAAAGGTAAAATAATGATTGTATGTTCGTTTTTGTTCAAAGCACTAAAGTAAATTTCATTATGTAATACCTAAAATGTGTTTTTATTTCAGATCATTCTGCCTTCATTATTCAATGTTTTAACGCATTTAGTTACATGTGCAAAACTGTTTCTAAGGTAATTATGGACAGATTGGCAAATTGAATATCCCATCAAAATTATATATAAAATGGAGGCAACATAAACCACCACTTTGTAAAGAAAGGATGCAAGGAGACACAAAATGACCAGCTGTTGTTTTAGTCACAAAGAGCTACGGTAAATGTATTGTGATGGCTAAATAGATATGAAAACTAGCCAAATTATACAGATTGTACATAATGTGATTTAACAAAATAATGCAGAAATTTGAAAGAATCAAAGTGAGACATAAGAGCAGAGTAATAAACAACCACAAAGAGATATAAAATGATAAAATATAATACACAGCAGAGATCCAGATTCTGCCTGTATGGTTTGTAGTTGCCTCAGTCTGTTTCATGTGTTGAACTCTGAGAGCTGATGTGTTCATGGTGTGTTCAGGTACCTCCACAGATTTGATTCAGAGTTGGAGCAGATTGAGTTAGTGAATGGGATCAAGGGTCGGCAGGGTCGTCTTCATGGTGCCAGAGAAGCTGTCATCAAACAGACTTTAGAGCGAGAGCGGGAGCAGTATGACGGAGTCGGGTTCGGTGAGTTCGCAGCATACTGCGCTCACACTTGTAGAGTCTGAAAAATCCTCCTTCATCCTGCGTTGTCATTTTCAGAAATCCCTGACATCATCAATGCAAAACATCTGAAAACATTCAGGTGAGTGTTTGAGCTTTGTGCACTTGAACAAGCAAAGTTTTACTTTTCTCATTTGACAGAATTAGAGTTGTCATTTGCATGTTAAGTAAATTTGTGGGGTTTGGTTTTGACATAAAGCACTTCTTTGAAAGATAACACAAATGTTAAAATTAAAGAAGAAGAAAAACAGGTTAGATTAGACTCTAATCTAATCATTAGAGCTTTGGTTAGAGTTAGAGGAAAAAAACAAACTAGCAGAAATATTAGCACATATTTGCCAAACATGCAGGGTTGTAGCATTCCCCTCTTTTTGGCAGTAATATATAAAAAATATATACTTTTGTTTTTCTTTTGGCAGAGAGTGGACAGGAGATCTGAAGAAACTTCCAAATATCAAGCTGCGAAAAGTGTCAAGTAAAGATTTGGACACAAAGCGTGAAGCAGAGGATGAGAACAAGGAAGATGAAGATGAATTGGACAGTGCGCAGATGGATGAGATGGTGTAGACGTCAGACTCCTAATACTTCATGCTGAAGTTTCTATGCAGCCGGGACATTAAACTGAACTTTTTTAACTAAGATTTTACATCAGAAAAACGAATGAAGACATTGCTGTTCCCCATTTGTCCAGGAGATGGCGCTAAAGTCAAAGACACATAAAAACCAGGCTGTCATTTCACCAGGCAGTAACTTCACACCAGCTTTATAAAGGTTCTACATTCATTGTTTATTGCACAAACATATTTCATCTGTGTTTATGATTAGAACTGAAAATAAAAGCCTTAAATGTTGTGAATGAAAGCAGAACGTGTACGTTCTGTGATGCAGGAAAACAAATCTGCAGAAAAGTGAACAAGAATTTAAAAAAAAAACTCCCTTTGAGCTGAGCTGAGACAAACAACTATAAACTTCAAACATGATCAAGTATAACTATTTAAGTAATGGTTACATTACTGTTAATGACTTCCTGATAAAAACTCAAAACTAAACATAAATGACCTAACTTAGACTTAGCTTAAATAATTTTTTAAAATTCCCTAATCAGATGAAACATTTAATTTAAAAGTTGTAGCTCTTAATAACTCAGTGTGTGAAAACATGACTGTCCAGATGAGTGTTTTAAGGCTTCAGTATGCTTCAGGGGAAAAAAGGTGCTTTTCAGGTGTTCTCTAGAACGTCACGTAAACACTTGTTTGGACTTTGTTGGGCGCTAAAATGGCTTTTTGTGGAGAAAAGATGCATTCACAGTTTTAGATCAAATATATTTCCGTAAAAGCTTACAGAAGGTAAGTTAAACAAAGTGGAGGGATTTAATTTGTACATATGAAACTTGAATGTCAGTTAAAGTGCAGTTAGGAGCTCAGCGTTTGTTTTCATTCATCAGTAAAAAATGTATTTCAACAGTCGTGAGTTTTGGTTGAAGCATATTGAGACCTGTAACAAAAAGTTCGACATCTTTTACGTCAATACAGATTTTAAAAGTGCGTACAAATAAAATGACATCATTCTGTTTACCCGCACCTCGAGTTTGCTGCTGACTTTATTTCCTTCGTGCTGCCTCACCTGCTCGTTTCTCTCCAGTTTTTCACCTGTTCCTTCACTACATCTCTTCTGTTTTCCATATTCCTGGATCAGTCCTGAACTGCTGCACCTTAAAACCAGAGCTCAGTGAAGCTGGGAGTTCAGCTGCACGAGCCAGTTCGGCTCTCAGTTTAATCAGACGGGGTTTTGCACCGGCGCCACCGCAGCCTCCACAGACATGTCAGAGTCCATGTGTGCCACTGGGGCAGCGACGGGCACGAGCGGGACCTGGACGGTTTCGTTCTTGCCGTTGCTGAGCGCGCTGGGCTGGGCCTGGCAGCTGTGCATGTTCTTCTCTGGGCAGTTCTGGACTGTGATGATGCGGTTGAAGGCCTTGAGGCGGCGCCACAGCTGCAGGTACACTTTACACTGGATGTACAAGAAGACGAGGCCGCCCGTGAAGCCGATGGCCACCACAACCAGCTTGGTCCAGAAAGGCCACTCCAGCACGCCTAAGAACACACAAGTGCACGGCTCCTGTGAGTGAAGCAGCAGGGGGTGTGAGGAAGCATGATGGGTGTGTGTGCAGGGGTGTGCTTACCCTGTGGGGAATAGTACTTCAGAAGAGAAACTCTCCATAACTCGTCTGCAATCAAGAGTCAGTGTAATTTCTCTTTACTCCTCTGATCTCGGATTATTAGCAGTACACTGTGTAATCTAATGATTTAATCTCATGTCCTACTTTATTATCACAGGACACTGAACACACACAAATACTAAAGCGCTAGGTGTCTTGTGTCGTGTTCTTGTTATGGATCAACAAATAGATTATGAATCAAATGATGGAAACAGTTCACGACTTAACGTTACACTGAAGCTTCACCTCTGGGATGTCAGTGAGTTTTTCTGCTGAAGTTTGTTTCACATCATTTCTACCAGATTAAAGTTGAGACTTTGACGGGTTTTACTACTATTTTATTGAACTGTTCTGTATTAAACTCTAAACTGTCTCTATTTGTGAGTGAGAGAGTGAATGGTTGTTTGTCTCATTTGTCTCTGTGTCCCTATGATGGACTGGAGACCTGTCCAGGGTGTACCCCGCCCCTCGCACAGTGATTGCTGGACATGGTCACCGGCGACCCCCGTGACCCAAAATGGAAAAAGCGGGTAAAAGATAATGGATGGATGTTCTGTATTAAAGATTGTTTAGAGCTCCTTCAAATAAACTGCAGATGAAGAGGTGTGGTGTTAGTTAAAGATTTTCTCTTTGCAGCCACATCATGAATATTGTTGATGGTTAGCGTTTCCATGACAACTCATGAGCTTCAACATTAACCCGTACCATCAAGGACAAGTTATCCTGACTTGTGTTATAGGTTGACTACTTCTGGACGGTTTCACCTCCTAAATAACTGCTAATCCTGCTTTTTGCCACAAAAGTTTGGTGAATTAATATTAAACTTCTCAAGTGTAGAACAAGAACATGATGAGGAACATGTAGAACCCTAATATAAGAATGACTGCATTCTCCCATCTCAGAAACATAGCACGACTCCGCCCATCACTCACAGTGTCCACTGCTGAAGTCCTAATCCATGCCTTTGTCACATCCTGAATCGACTATTGCAATAACGTTTTGTACGGCACACCATCCAAAACTCTCAACAAACTGCAATATATTCAAAACTTTGCTGCCCACCTTCTCACCCACACCTGCTCCCATGAACATATCACTCCTGTCCTGCAGAACCTCCATTGGCTCCCCGTCACACAGCGCATCCATTTCAAGATCCTTTTCATCACATTGAAAGCCCTCCATAATCTGGCCCCTCCATAATCTGGCCCCTCCATGATCTGGCCCCTCCATGATCTGGCCCCTCCATGATCTGGCCCCTCCATAATCTGGCCCCTCCACAATCTGGCCCCTCCATAATCTGGCCCCTCCACGATCTGGCCCCTCCA